GGGGGGGGGGGGGAGCATTCTCAGGCCGAGGCTGAGCTGCCCGATGAAGGAAGGAGCAGTTTGTTATCATGATAAGGCACAGCATGCAAACGTCCTAAGGAAGCGGAAAGTGTATGCTGGTTCCCTTTTGGTGCCATCTGCCCTTTAAAAAACACACACAAAAAACAGCAAGCCCATTACTTCTGTGAATTAAAAAAAATTAATGAAAAGAGACAAAAGTCTGTAAGTGCTCAGAGGACAGGAGGAACCACAGCTGATTAAGCTGTACCCCCACCTGTACCCCCAGCTTGGCACAGGCTCTAACGCCCACACACAGACCAGCGACTACACAACTTGGGGGTACAAGTTACAGGAACACAGCTGCGCAGTGACCAGGGAAGACGGGTGGCATCCCTCAACAAGCAGAAGGCCAGGGCACTGGGCATGGGTGGCAGGAAGTGAAGCCAGACCAGGCCAGGTTTTATCAAAGAGTCTGGGGTTTACCCAAAGGGCAAGGGGGTCAGTGCTGGGTTTGAAGCTGGGCCGTGGCAGGGTCACATGTCCGTGGCAGGAGCCTGCGCATTCTGGCATGGAGAATGGACTGAAGGACCTAAACATTTCCTGTCATCCGACAGGAGAGCGGCCCGGGTGGTGCTGGAAGAGGACATGGGGTGAAACCCAGGTTTGTTTTCTAGGATGAGTGAGATCCGGCATGTTGCAGGGCGCACAGAAAGCACTAAGAAGGGGAGGCCGAAGATACAGGAGAGCTGGCTGGTCAGTGGCATGAGCTTCCTGAGAAGGCGGAGGGCACGGGCCCCACCCGAAACCGGCCCTGGAAGCACACTGCCTCCACCTGACAGGTGGGGAGGCAGGCAAAGGGCAGGCGCAGGCGGGCTTCTCCGCTCACAGGAGCAAGATGGGAAGCTCCCAACCACTAGCTTGTTTTCTACGTAGAAGCTGATCTGAGCTGCTGAGACAAAGGTGAAGACAGAGCTGGGGACAAAAACCTAGGCGATGTCTGGGCGTGATGAAGGCACAGCTCAAGGGGGGAGCCAGTCCACTGGGATGTGCAGTAGCGTCCAGCTATCGGGGGAAGCTTGGCGACAGGGAAGCTGCGCTCATCCAGGGATGGAGTTCTCACTCCCTAGACATTTGCGCCTGTCTCCTCCAATTCCCTCCCTTCGAAAATACATACTCGTGTTTACAGTACACATGAGGCGTTCCTCAGGTGGGCACAGGACGGTGCGAAGCCCACCTTCCTGGTCTCACTCCCAGCTCACCTGGTGCTTCAGCGGAGACTCTATCCTTCTGAATTCCGAGGGCTGGTTCTCTAGCTGATAGACAATCAGCCCCCTCTCTGCAGTTGCCACCACGGCCATGGGATATATCTAGGGGATGATGGGGGGCAGAGACATGCCTCAAATAAAGGGCTGTGCTTTTAAAACTTTCCACCCCTCAGGGGTGTGCTGTTTTTATATCAAAATAGTAGATCAATCTTTTTAGAGTCATAAAAACAAGTCTCAATTTTTTCTAAGTTTAAAACCCAATGATATCAACATGTTCATGAAAACATAAAATCATGTTTGAAGTAGAAGATTCATATATTTTTTAAAAGACTTGTTTCTTTAAAACTATAAAATATATGAATACTTAGAAAATATACTCAGGAATAGAGAAGAAATGAAAATCGCCTACACCACCCCTTCAAATGAGAACAGTTACTAACATTATGGTATGTTTTACTCCAGTCCTTTTTCTTCTTTACAGGTATACGTGTGTATGTATGTTTCTGTATCAACTGTATCATTAACTCACAAAGGGTGTATTCTAAGAATACTGGTGACTGTCCAACACTCCCTCAAATAGCCTGCCACCAGGTCGCTTAACCATGTCTGTCTTGCCAGCTTATTCGATCACGTCCAGTGTTTCACAATATTATGCAACAAAGGCCACTTGCATCCTTATTTTTCTCATGACAAATTTCTAAAAGTGGAATTACTGGAGCAGTTGGTCCAAATCTTGAAAACTGGTGACTAAATGGAGGAAGTTCTTCATTTTCTCGTCCACTGAGACAGTCCCCACAGATCTAATACACAGTTACTGCCTGTTTTCCTACAGCCATTTTCCCACATCATAAATGTCATACGCTGATGGCATGTAGCTATTTGCATACATTCAAATGACAAGTGATCAAAGCCTTGACACCAGTCTTCATTCAGTAATTCTGGAACAAACGCAGCACAGAAGCCTGATTTAAGGAGACTGAGGCAGTCTGGACTATATCCCCCTCCAACTGCCAGATGTCCTGAGGTAAGAAATGCTATTATTTTTTTTAAAGGAAATATATATTAAGTTAGAAACTTCTTACCATGTCAGCACAGTAACACCTCTCAGGGAGCTGCAAAACCATCATGGGATTTGATGATCGAGTATCCCAAAACTAAAAAAAAAGCCAAGAAGCGACCATTCAGAGCTAAAGCCCAAACAGTGTAAGAACAGCCTGGTGGGCCCCGCAACCCCTCAGTGGCTTGGGTACCTTCAAAGTCTTATCCCAGCTCCCGGTCATCACACAGCTGTAGTTCGGGGCTTTGATCCAATGTATGGTTTTAACAGGAGCATCGTGCTTTCAGTAAGACAAAACCAAAACAGATGAAGGTAAATATAACTAGTGCTAAAGAGCTTTAGTTCTGAAAATCCAAAGAGAAGGAATTAATCTGAATATTGAGGTCACATTGAACAAAAGCCAAAGGGCGTTTTAGCCCTTCACCATGACCAAAAGGTCCAATGTAACATAAGAGCCCACATCTCCCCTCTGAACTCAGGAACTTAGTTGGATTTAACCCACAATTAACTAGTATATGAGAGTGAGAGTAAGCCCCTCCTGGGAGATAATAGGAAATAACTAGTAAGAGACTCCACCATGGTTTTATTTACTTACTTAGGTGACATAAACTAAGAGATCGGAGCTGCTTCTCGCACACAGCACTGTGACCTGAGTGTGGAACTCCTTCTTGACAATGCTCAGTGTCCTCACCAGCTCAGGCCCTGGCTCTAGGTTCTCTCATCTTCGTTGCTTCTGCCTTTCTTAGCAGACTTCTCACAAGAATCTGCCTCTGTCCCTGAGTGGACTACAAAGCTCCAGGAGTGTGTGACAGTGCCCCCCTCACCGATGCACCGTCCTGATGACAGCATATGGCATACAGCGGGCATTTGATAAGTACTGGTCCAATGAACGAGTGACCAAATGTAGCTAATAAAAGACAAGCCACTGACAGGTACTGAGTGTCAAGCAAGTGAACGTTGAGGGCCATCTGTCACATTTGTCTTTTATAGATTTAACATCACTAACTCCTCAAGACGCTGTCCTCACCTACACGTACATGGAAGACCTGTGACAGAGCAATCTGTGAGGCACTAGTAAGGATGAGAGTGGTCATAAACCTGTGTTCTGCTGTGCTGAAGAGGGGTTTCTGTATACTTGAGACTATGTGAGATGGCGCAAACTGAATTTTTCTCTAAGAGAATTATAAGCAGCACCCAGTTTGCAAAGGCAAGTTCTTCTTACCTGTGCGATCTGTATCGCCTGATTGCTATTAAGGTCCCACATTTTGGCAGTTTTATCACACGAAGCTGTAAAAACTTTGCTCCCATCCTAAAATAAAATAGAGAGAATCTGTTGTGCTAAGAAAAAGAAAATCTCTACCTCTATATATACTTGGATGAGAATATATCAGGCAGGTTTTGTTCTGCAATTTTTATTCTTCCAATTATTTGGGGCCACTATACTACACTGTCATATACAAAACACATTTTCAGCTCCATTTTTCTTATTGATCCATTTTTCTAGGATATGTAAACAGGATAAACAAATTCAAAGGGCACTTAGTTATATGGTGAGAACTTGGCCCCTCCTACCTGACGCCAGCTCTCCTCTCAGAGACAGTCAGGGCCATGACGTGTCCTCCAGGAATAGACTGCGTATCAGGTATCTATGTACATCATCTGGGGCCACTTACATTTTTTTTTTCTTATTTTGATCAATTTCAAGCCTTCACAAAAGTTGCAAGAATAAAACAAACACCCATAAACCCTCCACTTAGATCCACCAATTATAAACATTTGCCATATTTACTTTCTCTCTCTATACACCTATACATCTATACTCATTACCACCTTTGTTCAGCTCCGTATCTAACAGCATTCCAAAGGGCATGTAATAAAACCACACTAATTTCCAATAACCAGTGATCCTACATCAACTACAGAACAGCTTAAAAAATAGAAGTCCTTGTGTAACGGTTTTAAATATTCACATACAGAACTCAAAGGAGGCCAGTCAAATATGAAAAAGCACAAGATAACTTTTATTAAAAGGAGAAAGTACTAAATGGAAAGTCTAGACCAGTGGTTAGCAAATTTCTTCTTTAAGGGCTATTCACTTATTAAACACATCTTTACAGCTCTCTGTTGCAACTCCTTAACTCTGCCACTTCGGCGTGAAAGCAGCCACCACGTTATGTAAGTGAATAAGTGTGGCCGCATTCCGATACAACTGGACAAATACAGGCACCGGCCCCATTTGGCCTGTGAGCCGTAATCAGCTATTCTCTGCTGTAATTACTATCTTCATTTGATATGCAAATACCATGCTAGTCGCTTTATGTAGAGTTAATGAAGCTGCCAGAAACTTCCACTACCTGAAATTTTTATTTGTTTCTATGTCTGTCCTAAGAGATCACGAGTCCCATGAGCACAGGACCTTGCCTACTCTGATTTGCACTACATCCCAGTGCTTCAGCTACTAGAGGTGCCTGGTAACTATTTGCTGAATTAAATTCTATTCTCTGTTGTAATTATTATTATTTTCATTTGATATGTGAGGAAACAGACAGAGAGAGACTAAGTAACTTGCCAAATTAAAAGCTGGAGGAGACAGAGGCGAAATTTGAACCTAAGCCTGGACAAAACAATGCTCAAGAAGCCACAGGAACACGGCCCACTTTTCCTTTAAAATTCAACTCAATTCTTGCTTCTTTAGTGACACATTCATGGTGTCCTTCCCAAACTTAATGGGCTCCCTGTGTTCGTCCTCACTCAGACCAGTATATCCTGCCTCTAGAACACCTCACTCCTAGGTTTGAGTCCTCCACGAGATGAGGCACAACTTGGGGAAATGGAACAACAAGCTGCACTCACTTGGTAAATGCCAACAGCCATCAATAACACTGGGGCAGCAGAATTCCTCTATCAGTAACCTCTACTTCTTACCACACTTTATAAGAAAGTTTAAAATTCTGACCCATTACCTGATCAGTAAAGAAAGACATGCAAATTAATTTAGAAATTAAATTTCCCACATGTAAATTAAAAGGAAGTTATATCTGTAAGAAATGCATCACTTTTCAGACTGTTTGCATCTACTTCTTGGTACAACTATCAACTTCTGACTGTGCGCCAAGCCCTTTGTTTTCTTTGTACTGGTTCAGCCACCATGCAGGACAGGGGGGAGAAGGGCTGGCTGTCAATCCCCAGGCTCCTCCTTTACCCAGGGAGCAGGCCCTCCACAGCTGCAGCTCTCTCTGTGCCTTGCCACCCATCCTTTAGTAAATTCTTCTCAATCAATAACAAAAGCAAAACAACAACAAAAACCTTGAATATGTTTGCTTATGTAGCTGATGGTCAGGATCTGGGAGGGAAAAGGGAATTCCAAAAACCCAAGTGTCTTCAAATGTCTAATAAAAGGATCTCCCCCCGACCCCCCGATTTATTTTCTGAGATAGTACATTTATAATTTTAAAACAACAGAAGCCCAGGTGGGCATGGCTCAGAGGTTGAGTGTCAACTTAGGATCCAGGAGCTTTCAGTTCAATTCCTGGTCAGGGCACATGCCCAAGATGCAGGCTTGATCTCTAGTTGGAGGCATGCAAGAGGCAGCCAATCAATGACGACTCTCTCATCATTGATATTTCTCTCTCTCTCCCCCTCTCCCTTCCTCTGTCTGAAATCAATAAAGATATATTAAAAATAAAAAAATTAAAATAAAAAATAAAACAACATAAGCTCATGGAACATTTATAAGTAGAAAAGGCTTCAGGAAAAATTCTTTGTTCAAGGTAACGTCAATAAAATACTGGATTTTAAAAAAAATGTTATTCATTTCAGAAATTCAGGGAGAGGGAAAGATGGAAACATCAATAATGAGAGAGCCCAGCCAGGTGTGGCTCAGCGGTTGAGCACTGACCCAGGATCCAGGCAACTGGGGTTCGATTCCCGATCAGGGCACAGGCCCGGGTTGTGGGCTTGATCCCCGGTCGGGGGCATGCAGGAGGCAGCCAATCAATGACTCTCTCAACACTGATGCTTCTATCTCTCTCTCTCCCTCTCCTTTTCTCTCTCTGAAATCAATAAAGATATATTTAAAATAAATAAACAAATAATGAGAGAGAATCATTGATTGGTTGCCTCCTGCATGCGCCCACTGGGGACCAAGCTCAAAACATGGGCATGTGCCCCAACCAGGAATCGAACCATGATCTCTTGGTTCACAGGTCAACATTGAACCACTGAGCCACATCAGCCTGGCAAAATACTGGATTTTTTATGCAAGAGACGCTTTCAGAGATGAAAGCCAATGCTGATATTAGGAACATCAATAAGTTACTATATCTATAATTAGAAACCTAGAATTCCTTCAATGTGTATACATACATATTATTTGTATTCTGGGTTATATAAAAACAGAAATATACAAACATCCCAAATACACTGCACTTTATATAGAAAAAAACATGAAAAATAGAGTGAAACTTACATCACTCCAGCAGACATCGAGCACAGGCCCAGTGTGCATCTGCTGGGCTTTAGGAATAGTTTGTCCACTGTCTTGAACTTCCCAGCAGCGAACCTATGGTAATAAGACAAATTAATGCAAACACAGCAATTTATAATAAATTAGATGCATTTAACTAATGGAGTACAATTTAAATATATATGGACTTGTATCAATCTACTTATTTAACTCGAAGAATAAAGCAATTGAAAACTATACACAAGTAGCTGTTTTCCTATTCCTATTTCTAAGCCATTAAAACACACAAATTCTTGCCCCACCAGCATAGCTCAGTGGTTGAGCATCAACCTATGAACCAGAAGGTCACGGTTTGATTCCCGGTCAGGGCACATGCCCAGGTTTTAGGCTGGCTCCCCAGTGGGGGGAGTGCAGGAGGCAACTGATCAATGACTCTCTCTCATCACTGATGTTTCTATCTCCTCTCTGAATGCTTTACTTGACCTTTTAGATCCTTTTTTCCCTGATTACAAAAGTAATGCATTTTACTTAGGGATTTTATAACCATGACAAGAAAATCAAATCACCTTCATCCCGCCAGACAACTAGCTGACACTTGTGCGCTCTCAATCTTTCTAGGCACACATATTTTCTTCAAAAAACAAGATTACACAGTATCTTCACTTTTGTAATTGCACTCCCCTCATCAGTATTAGTTGCCAATAAACATTCTTACATTTTTTGGCAGAGAATCAACTGAAGTCTTTCTAGAAACTCCATGTAGAAGCCAGACCTGCTCAACCTTGACCACCTCCTCCCCCACTGTTCTCTCCTCATCCCTCATCACCTGCTGCTTCTGTTACAAGAAAGTTTGCCAAAAACTTTAAAAATGCAATCCCATCATTTGGACATATCATATATTATCATTAGATAGTACAATCTTCAAACTTTTACTGCATGAAGACTTTTTAAATGAGGCAGTATCAGGTGGTACGAGGAGCACAAACGCTAAGGGGTCTGTGCACAGGTCCTCCCCAAGCCCCAGAGGGGAATCGCTGAGACAGGGATTTCTGATGAATATCACCATCACCCTTCAGAAGAGCTGTACCAGCAACACACACCTACCAGCAGCAATATCTGTAAGGATTCAGCACCAAGTGTAATTCTTCTAAACTTTTTATTTTTGTTAATTTGAATTTTAAAAGGTCTACCATGTAAATGTGTGTTCACCTGATTATAAGTGTGGCCGGATGGTTCCAGTTTAATGGGCTTCTTGACATCCTTTGCTTATTTTTCTATCCGAATTTTTCTTTCTTTTTTGTATACTATGACTTTTTTGTCTTTCTTTTTTGTACACAACAGGTAAGTTGAAGGTCTATGCAGAACCTGTGCTATATCTAAAGTTGAAAAAGTTTACCATATGCCTGAAGAACATTTTCAGGAAGCCTAGAAGGGAAATGTGGGTAGTCCATCATGGACAATACGTATTCCCAACGAACACTACAGCTGATCTGGGAACACACTTCCAGATACTGACCTGGAGGAACCTGAGCCACCCACACGATCATGCTTTCTTAACAAAACTCCATGTATGTGACGTGTGCCCACTCAGAAGGGTTCACACCTTCTAACTGGTCTATTTAAAACTTACTTATTTAAATATACTAAAATATTTCTATTTCAGAATGGTTTTAGATTTACAGAAAATTGTAAAGATAGGAGAGTTCCTATACACCTCACATCCAATTTCCTTTTTCCCTTCTTATATTTGCCACCAGGGATAACTCTTAGCTCCGTCTCACTCACTTGGGAGAGGATGGAGCCAAGAGGAAAGCTAACCCTGCCCATTCCGAGACAGGACTTACAGAAGATGCACTTAAGGAGCACTTACATCGTTGGCCCAGGATCCTGCAATAAGAAAGTTCCCAGGCAAGGTGGGCGGGCTAAAAGATAGACAACCAATGCTATCATCAGGAGAGGATGTTACTTCAATATCCTGCAGGGGGGAAAGGTAAACGTTAAAATGTATGCATGCATCATCAGTTTTATCCAAAAGTGCTCTCTTTCTCACTGAACACCTCACAGTGGATTTCCCTTGTGCTCAAGAACTAAGTGAATCAAACTTGTCTTACTCTGCTCAAAAAAGGTGGTGACAAAGAAGCCAGTGAGGGTAACAGCACCACCACGCTTTCAGAGGAGATGAGGGCCCACCAGTTCACTCCTGCCCCTAAGTGCTGATCACAGCTACCACGTGCCCTCCCTCCCCTCAGGAATTCTGATGCAACAGTGTGGGCTGGGCCCTGGGAACCTGCCATTTTAACAAGCGCCTCAGGTAATTCTAGTGATTAAAAAGGTGAGGGGACAGGATACACAGTTCCTATGCTCCAATGTCTGAGAAAGCAGCCAGACAAACTTTCAGAGCTTTCACCCAAAGGAGGCTCCCAAGCTATCGGTTTCTCCAGTTGTCACTGTTGTGGGAAACCCTGGCCTGCACTCTTTGGACAAACCCCGTGAAGCCCGATGTGGTACCTTCATAGGGTTGTGGTTATCTGTGGTTGTACTGCCGAACATGCTGGTCCCACTAGTTCCAAAACCCGAGGTTGTTCCAAACAGACTCATTTTGGCCCTAAAAATTAATGGAAAATGTTAAGGACAAGTCCTTTCTTAGGTAATAAATACCACTGAGAGGCAATGTAAAGGTAATTAAGGCACAGAAGGGAAACAAAGAGTCTAAAGGGCTTGATGCTAGGTCAAAAGATCTAAATATGTGATAAGCAGAGTGCTTTTTAAAACTAAACTTTGTATTTGAGAACAGTTTTGAATTTATAGAACAATGTAAAGATAGGTAAGTTCCCATACACCCCACACCCAGTTTCCTCCTTACATCTGTCACCACGAATAAACCGATACACATTACAGCAGAGTACTTTTCAGTCACCAGCCAGAATTAAACTCTCTCATTTTTTACAATTAGAGACACGGAGCTGAGCACCAGGATACAACAGCAAACTGGCAGGTCTCTTCCCAGGTTCCCACTTAATGCAAGTTCACTTTCTTCTTACTAATCTCTGCATGCTGGTTCAGGTCAATATGTCCGCATGAAGTTACTTAGGAAAGCAACCAGTCCTGGCTGTGATTCAGCAATTTCTTTGTAGGAGAAATTTTAAAAGTAATCTACCTTGGTCTGCTTGAGCACCAGCCTCGCATTATGTGTGGACATTTAACAGAAAGAATTCCCCCATTCTGAGTTCGTACTATGCCTGCCAGGGTTTGGACTGTGCTTCTGCCCCTCACCATAGCTGGGACCCTGTTCTCACCAGGCCTTACTTTCCTGCTCTGTAAATACAAAAAAAAAATATTAACACTTTCTCCAGGGATACTCTGAGGATCAAATCAGGTTATATGTGTAGAAAGTGCAGGGTCAAGCACATAGTGGATACAATAAACAACTTTCCTTTGCAAGGAGAAAGTCTGTGTATTATAATTCCCTGGTGGCATACGTATGCTGTCGCCACATTTTCAATTCTGTCCAGCTACCAAGTTTTTAAACCAAGAAGTCTACCATGTCAGTCACCTCTCCCAAAGGAGCCTAGGAGCTGAGTGGCATACTCGCTAACAAGGGTAGTACCTCTAAAGAAGACAAGAGAATGGGAAACTGCTAGGAATTTCGGAAAGGCATTTGAGTTTCCCAGGCTTCATGAAAAATAAGGAGGTTCAGACACACTAGGTAAAAGCAACAGCTCTGAGCGTAGCAATATTTCAAAAAGCAACTTCTGCCTTAAATCTTAGCAACGTACTTGGAACACCAGGAAACTGCATGAGTGAACAAACAAAGCAATGGCCAGCCTTCTGCCATAAGGGTCCAGGAACTAGCTGTATGGCTTTGGCCATGTTATTTAGCCTTGATTTTCTCAACTATAAAAATAGTCATTAATATCCACTTCATAAGGTTATGAAAACCAAGTGAGCACACACAGTGCCTTAAACTTCTTACTTCCATTCCTCTCCCTCTTCAGTCATCAAGATGGGAGAGAGCATTTCTGCCATTAGGAAAGGGCACAGGTCATTCAAGTAGTTACCCGCCTTTGTGGACCATATGGTATGCAGGACACTGGGAACCCTCAGTTCAGAAGACACCACCCGCCTCCCACCTACCCAATCTCCTCCCACCCTGCTCTCCAGCCACACTACCTCTGCAGGCTTCCTTTCTGCTCCCGAACACAGCAGCTCATCCCGGCCTAGAAGCATTCCTACGAGTTGTTCCTGCGATAACTCCCCCTCCCCCAAACCTCCAGCTGTCTCAGTCTGAATCTTCAGGTTGGGGATCAAAAGATGCCTCCTGAGAACTTTTTGAGGTGATGGAGATGCAGTTCTAAAACTGCACGTGGTGATGTTCGCACAACTGTATGAAACTCCCTAAACACATCGAAATGTACACAAAGGTATAACTTACAACAAAGCTCTGAGACGTATCTTCTTTTTAAAAAGGTCACCTCCTCGGAGGCCTCCCTGCCTCCTAATTTAACATATCCAACCTCCGATCACCCCCACCCCCCCGGTTTTCTTCATAGCACCTGTCACGATCTGGAACTTCTTTGCAGTCAACCTCTTTCCCAGGACAATGCCAGCTGCAAAAACGCAGCCCTGCCTGGGTTCTTCCCTAACACACACCTGGCGCTCAGCACGGGCCTGGCCCGGGGGCGGCGGGTGTGTGTTAATAAACACCTTGCGAAGAAAGACAGAAACAAAAAGGTAGACTTGGTTTCCCAAGAGCGGTAGGGGCAACGGGGGGAAGAGGCAGGCTGACGTGGGAGCACTAAGAGGGGATGGCCTTGGGTACAGGAACGTTCAGGCAAGGTCTCCGAGGAGATGGCGCGCGTCTGACGAGACGCCAGAATGATGCGGGGAAGGGCGGAGGCGACAGGCGCTGCCTTCAACTCTGGAACCCTTCTAGGTGCCTCAGTTTCTCCACAAGCGAAACGAAGGGGTTAGACCCACGGTGGCCGCAAGGGCCCCTTCCTGCTCTGACGTCACTCCCGGGGACCACTAAGGGAGCTTCTCCGCCGGCCGACTCACTGAGGGCGCACTCCGCCGGGGAGGGGGACCCGGCCTCCGAGGCGGGGAAGGCGGCGCGGGGGCTACCTGAGAGTCGCACTGCGACCAGAAGCTGGCTGCCGGGACCGGGGGGACTCGAGAACTTGCGACCCAGCTCCGGCGCGAAGGAGGCGAGGGCGCGATGGCGCGAACGCGAATCCTGAGAGCTCGGGATCTCCCCACGCCGGCGGAGGAAACTGCCCCGCTTACCGTGGAGACATAGCGCATGCGCCCCCAAGCCACTTCCTGTGTCAGCCGGAAGGCAAGGAAGTGAGAAAAAAAGCTCCTCCTCCCGCTGGGCGACAGCGCATGTGCACAAGCGCTATTGACGCTGAGAGGAGATCCTTGTGCCAGCAGTTTGCGGATTGGTGGAAAGTTCCTGCAGCCGACTCCAGGCAGCAGAGCGACCGCGACGGTTAAGCCGCAGCCCCAGGTGGCGGAGGATAGTGTTTTCTCCTGTGAGTTAAGAGTCAAGCAAAATTCTCATTGCAGCCGACTGAAGTCCAAAGCCGTCCTCCGAGAAGCTGATGGGACGCTGCGCGGGTTCCTGCCATGACTTCCCTGGTTGCGAGAGCGTGTGCTGAGCCATCCGGGCTCTCTGGACCTCAGTTTCAAGCTGCAAAATGGAGATAATGCTGCCTAACTTCCGGGGCTGTTCTTAAATTGGTTCAGGTGAAGCAATATACGTGAGAGACTTGGTAAAGGTAAAGCTGCATGAGAATTGTTAAGGGACTGTATGACACTCGTGCCAACTGCGAATTTTTCAGCTGGTCGCTTTTTTCCACTTTCAGAAATGTCCTGAGGTGGGGCGGG